TACAGGTGTTTCTAACAAGTAGCTTTTGAGGTTGGAGGCCAGCTTCCTGTTCAAAGGCTCTCTCCTACCCAGATCAGAACAAACACCTACTTGATGTTTGTTCCTCATTATGGAAAGAGGTTACCAACCCCTGCTCTAAGGAAAGTATGTCCCCATCCTCCTGCCCCATTTGCCACTGATATTGTTTGATGGAATTGGAAAGCCAGGTAAACTGTGCTGTAATGTTCAGCCCAGGAAAGAGGGTTTAGCCATCCCAACCCTAGGACAATGGCCTGAGGTTGGCTGGTTGGCTGGTTGGGATTTTTACCAGCTGGAAGACAAACTAAGATCATATCTGATGGACACTCACTCCAAGATGGCCCTCAGTGATCCTTGACTGCTAGTGTTTGTGGGGGTTCAAAACAAGCCACCCCAAGATGTGCTTCAGTGATAAGCAGATTACTTGGAAATAAAGGCAATTTTCACTTCAGGCTTAAAAAAAGATTTGGTTCCTCCCTTTAACTACTATTGACCGGACAGGGCAAATTCCTACTTACTAAAATCATCCTATGAGGATCCTTTGAAGCCCTCAAGGCACCTTACCTCCCCCCTAGCTCAGGGTGTCTTATATACCTCAATCCCCCTTTCTATCTCTGAACCTCTCCTGCTTGTGGGGTCTCTGACTCTCTCATGTATGCAGGGTTCCCATACATATTAAATACGGTTATTAAATGTGGTTAGTACCTAAAGAAGGGGCTTCCTGTTGACCTGTGGGCCATGGTTGGCCGACCACTGCTTTAGATGATCAAGATGAGATTAGCTGAGAGAAATTCCAATGGGGAATAGGAAACCTAAGAAAAGACATGGCCACCCAAAGTCACTGGTAACCACTACAGAGAGTTAGATCTGCCAGGTCCTGTCCCCCAACCCCCACTTTTCTTCCTAAGAAAGTATTACTCACTTACGGAAAAGTACATAAAATATGTATTCACAACTTAATGAACTATCACAAAGCAAACACTCATCCAGATGAAGAAATAGAACTTGCCAGCACTTCTAGAGGTCCCTCTTGTCCCCCTCACCAACCACTGCCCCCGCTCTCTACTTGAAGAAGGCTACTAAACTGACTTCTAACCCTGTAGACCACTTTTATTGGTATAAATGAAATAATAGCATATAGAGTATTACACTCTGGCGTCTAGACTCTTTCGGTCATGGCCATTGTTGCTCTTGTGTTTCTAGAAGGATTGAATGTAGTGAACCACTACTCACAGATCCCAGGGCTGCCTTTTTGGCATGAGATTGGTTCTCTTAGAGGGCCTTGGCTGGAGGTGAGGAGGGCCTGTGAGCCATCCAACCACCCAGCCCAGGCTGCTCTGCGGACTAGAGAGACTGATGCTACAAAGTGCCTAGCAACAAACCCGGATATCTTGTGACAGACACGCTAACACTCAGAAAAACTACCTGAGCAGTGAAGTTGATTAAGGAGGTTCCTCTTGACCTCAGATCAGCCCTATTCCCTCTGAGACTCATTAGCCTCCATCTATTAAAAAGGAAAAATAATGCATAGGGCAGACATACGTGAGTGTGAGTCAAGCCTTTTAACTGCAGCCCGCCTCCAGAGTTCAGGGCTGGGTGTGTAGTGGTGGAGGCTGTGCACTGCACAGCTCCGGGAGCATCGCTTACACAGGACACAGCGTGGATGGTGCCACGTGGAAGTGCACAGGGCAGTTAGCAGGATGTGAGCAGAATCAGTTGCCTGGATCCAGACTACATTTCAACTTAACATGTGGTCTAGATACACAGACCGTCATTACTTATACATGTTTGGGAGGAGGCTCTTCAAATTATTTAAGTGTTCTAATTAACCCTTCAATCAGAAATTCTTTTTTTTTTCTCCCCTCAACAGGCTAAAGTGATTGAGTCTGTATTTGAATGATTAAGATCTTATAGGATCTCCTTTGGGTGTGTGTGGGCAGAATGTGTAGTGAAGGTGGGTGGTGGTTGTTTTTTGAACATCAATTCTCTTTAGCTAGGATGTACCTATAAAAGGAAACAAATATACATATATATATATACACACATATACATACACACACACACATATAAAAGATGTCTAGAATAGGCAAGTCCGTAGAGACAGAGCATAGATTAGTGGTTGCTGGAGATCCTGAGATTCTTTCTGGGATGATGAAGCTCTTCTGGAATTAGATGGTGGTGGTGGTTGCACAACTCTGAATATACTAAAAACTACTGAATTATACATTTTAAAAGGGTGAATTTTATGGTGAGTGGATTACATATCAATAAAATTATCTAAAAAAAAAAAGTGAAGAGAATCTGAATCTTTACTGACCCCAGGACACCCCTGAAACTATCTTCTCAAAGAAGGAACACTTCTGAGCTTTAGGCACGATTGTCCTTCTCCCTAAAGGCAGAGCCTGGGGACAGTTGTGCCCTAGGACTTGAGGCAAGTTAGCCTGTTACAAACCACCCTAAGAATCCTGAAGCTATCATCTCAGTCTTGGCCCAAGTAATCCTAAAGCTGCTAAAACCCTGCCCAACACTGATCTATTGTTTCTAAAACAAAAATCAGATTTCAGACCCTGATTTGATAAATTTTAGGATACTCAGTTCCAACTCTCTGAAAAGATGAAAAACTAGTGAGGGCTCAGGGCTCTCACTCACTGAGAGCCCCAAGTAAAGGCGCCTGCAGGTGGAGGACCCTGAGGTTGGGAGTCACACCAGAGCCCCGGCACCCCAGCCTGCCTTTGCCTCCTGAGTACAATAAATAGGGGTTGAACGTGGGCCGGGAGAGCAATTCCTCTCCAGAAGGCAAGAGTGTTATTGCTGGGAGCTGCCTGCTTCCTGAGCTGCGACTTGGGAGGATACTGCTGGAGAGAGGAACGCTCGAGCGGTGGGCTTCTTTTGCAAGTAAGGGTGTTCAAGCGCATCTGACAATTGTTTATAAGGCTCGGTTCCGTTCCTACTAAGCAGTTGTCCAAATAGATTTAGAACAAGTGTTCAGAATGGGCCCACTCCCACACTACATAGGCAAGGATCAGCAGAGGGGCCCAGGAGTTGAAGTACAAGTCTCTCTGTCTCTTCAAGGGGAAAAGGGATCAAACACGAGCAGCCACTTGCAGGGCCCGAACGCAAAGGGACGCAGGCTGGCTGGGAAACTTTCCCGCCATCCTGTGTCTGATTCGAAAGCCAATGCTGACAGGGCATGCTCCACATACCGGGCCCCTTTCTGAGCCATTTTACATATATTATCTCCTCTACTCTTCACAATTGCCTATGCCATTGGTATGATTAGTATCCCCACTTTAAAGATGAGGAGACTGAGGCACAGAGGTTATTGTGCCCAGGGTCACAAGCAAGCAAGTGGCAAAGCTGGGACTGGACCCCAGACAGTGCATGCTCCTCCTTACTCCATGGTTTATCCCATTCAGAGATGTCATTGGAAGTTTCCCTGCACAGGCTCAGGTGACCCCACAGATCTGTGCTCTTACTGCGCATCTGGAAGAGGAGGCTTACAGAATTGCTCCTCTGGATATGGCTACGTGAAAGCGGAACCACTGAGCACTAATCTCAGCCTCCAAACACTCTCCATCCATAACAGAGAATCAGGGCAGCTGCACTCCAAGGTGGGAACCTAAATTTTGTTAGTAACAGGCCCCATCTGGCCCTTGATCTGGACAAACTCCCTCCCCATCCCTTTGGGCCTTGCCCAGAAATTAAAAGCAGTTTCTGTATAATATGAAGAGCTGGAAATGTCCAGGTCAGAACAGGGACTTGTTTCTTCAGAAGCCCCAGGGAGTGGAAACTACACCGCCAGTGTGAGCTTGTAGGGTAATCTTATTATAAGAGGCTTCTAAATTCCCTGATCGTGCTGGAATGTGGTGTCGCTGAAAAGGAGATTATATAAAAGAATGGGCTGGGTGTGGTGGTGAGGATGGTAGAGGCTCGGGCAACTCCCTAATGCTGGGACTTTCTGAGCAATTCTATGGAGCTTAGTTCTTGGTTTACGGAAGGTGCTCAATTAAGGCCTATTGACCTAGTTGTCCTAAAAAAACTTAACTTTATGGAGGTATGTGGCAAGACTGCTCACTTTTTGCAAGAGCCCTGCTAGTGTTGAATGGGACGCACCCAGAAGCAGCTGGTTACCATCAGCCGCAAGCCAAATCAGTGATGGCTCCACAGCAGCTTTGCTCACCCGAGCGGGGCCTACCCTGCCTCAGGGGTCATGCTGGCTAAAAGCT